GAGTAAGACCAAAGAAGCGTCCAAATGAGCATCCAAAGGATCCACAGCGCTGGCTTTTACTTTGGGCCCGAGTACTGCAACTCCTGGCCCATTCTACGGCTGACTAGTCGTCTTCTGAGCTGAACCGCTCGAACCGCTGGTAGCCCCGGACCTTCGGTACCTGCTCCATCTTCTCCAAGGACCAGTCTCACTTAAGTATGCAAACCTCCAGACCTCCACACAGGGCTGATGCTGTCTCATGCAGTCATAACCAGATATTCACCTATCCTGGTGATCCTAGGTTTATCCAAATCCACATCCAAATTTATCTTAACACCAAAGTTAGTGTAGGTTAATATGTTAGTGCATATTCACTCACTATCATTAACTTTAGTACTTCTAGCCTGACTCAGAATCTTTTATTATTCACCTACTATTATTTATCCTCATTATCTTATCATCATCTATTGCATGTATGTTGTACCATCATTTTTCCTGTAATAAACAGATCATTATTTTTCTAAGTTCCTGTCTGTTAGTGTTCTTCAATAAGAAGTCCCTGAAATGAGAATTTCAGCTTGAGATATGAGATTGATTAATTAAAGATTGACTTAATGTTTGATTTCTGAAAATAAACTTTTGTTTTCCTTTATTTTCCCACCATTAAGGGTGGGTGGTGCCCCTTTCAACGAGTGCATAAATGTCATAATTTGAGATTATTAATCTTCAGACATTTATTATAAATTCGAATCGCTACAAATGTTACCTTTTCATATCTTTCCGATTTTGGTGATGCACAAATTGATGTGCTCCCTGACCACTTTCCCCTTTTTATCGTCTGCTGAACACATCCCAGATGAGTGGACCCTGTTCAAAGCCAGACTTTACCTTAAGCCCCAGTTGCTGACAACGCTGACCTGGGAGGAGGTCAACCAGCTTCATAGGGACAAGGACACCTGTTCTAAGGTCCTTGAACTGATAGACCTCATCCTCACCACCTCTGCATCAACCGCCGACTGTGAGAGGGCCTTCAATATCATGAAAGCGGTGAAATCAGACTGGCAGTCAAGCTTAAAGACTGACACGCTGTCTGACCTTCTGCTTGTGCAGCTCTCATCTCCACCCATTTCTAGGTTTAATCCCAGTGCTGCTGTCAAGTTGTGGCACACTCACTGCATAAGGCCTAATTTTAAAGGTCTCCTACTATGGCATTGTTCATCAAGTTTAAATCGATCCCAGAGGTCCCACAATAGTAAATTTGAAGTTTGTTGTCTAAAACACCAGTTTATTTGTGGATATCAGCCAGCCTGCACTCTCCTCTTTTTGAGCTCCACTGAGAACAGGCTGATTCTGCACCTGTACCTTTAAATGATAATGAGCTGGGTAACCATGCTCTTCCTCCCCATGGCCACTCTGAGCTGCCGGCACCGTCGCGGTGGTCCAGGAGCAGTGGTCTGGAGATCTTCTTAGGACCTCTTCACAGGACCTACAGACCACCACGGGACCACCTGCTCACGGAAAAAAAAGTAAATAGAAGTGAGTCCAAAGACATATACCACAGGCAGCGGTAAAGCAACATAAAATGGTAAAACTTAAGGGGTGTTCAGACCAACACGACCTCGGCGACGTCAGCAACTGCTCCCAATGCAAAGTCTATGGACAGCCGCGACCTGACGCGACTTGGCGACCGCCAGCTGCCTGCGGCGCGACCTGACGCGACTTGGCGACCAGGTCGCGCATGGTCGCGTCGCCGAGGTCACAGGACAGTTCAGATATTTGAACTTTGGGAGCGACTATCCGCTACTCCGTGCCGCGACAGCCAATCAGGGCTCTGCTGACGTCAACAAACCGGCAAAGCAAGGAGGAGGAGGAGAAGAAGAATCACAATGGAGGAGCAGTTTATCACTGCCCTGAGTTATCACCCGGTCCTGTACGACGTGGGGTGCGCGTTTTACCGGGACCAAGCAGCTGCATATGCAAGGGGGAAAAGTGGCAGACACTACCTCAGCGAAGAAGTTTTAGAGGGCTGGGCTAACGATTATTGGGAGCAGTGCCACCAACACATAGAAGAGGCTTATCCGCACAGCTTTTCCATTTATTGGTAAAAAAACACCCAAAAGTGGATTTTTCATAATAGGGGACCTTGAAGGAAAGCAGGTTGCTGAGACAGACTCAGACAGGTCTGACTCTGAGGCTGATGATGTGGTGATTACCTGAGCCACAAGGACAGTAGAGTTGAGGAGTTAAGGAGGCCTACCTAAAATAAATAAATTAATTAATTAAAAAAATTAAATAAAACAAATTAAAGGTAGATGCCAATGCACTTGTACGTGTAAGACAATCATTTAAAAAATATTTCTGGCCAGTAAATTTTTGGAGGTCACTAGCCAATATGGCAGATGAGATAAAAAGTTAGTTATACGCCCTGGTTATGCACAAATGGCTACGGTCATTGTGGGGGGAAGGAGGCATAGGTGCAATGACATAAGTGCAATAACAGATGACAGAGAGAGAGTCTTCTGTGCATGTGTCAACATATTTGGACCGGCAGAAATAAAAATAGTAGAATAAATAGCAATGCCATTTTTTAGCTGCTGGATGATGAAGAAACATTGAAATTCAAAAGTCCTTGTAACATGGCATTTTCCTGCATCTGGATCATTCCAGTGCACCATCACAGTTAGTGTGTCTCCCAGAGTAGTTTTTCTGGTGGGCTGTCCCCAAGTGTTGAATGCGATGTGTCGCAGGATGAGCAAGTATATCCAGTTCCTACACACTTAGCAGTAAATAACAGAAAACACAGCTTTTATGCAGTTACTGGCTTCCCTAAAATGATAAGTGCAACTCCATGGCTTCAAACTTAATCTTAATTTCCACTCTGCTCCCCAAACTCTCCACAGTGACAGCTGCTTGCACAGGCAAGCCTCGAAAGAAAGGCCTCGTATAAATAGGGTGGTCCACACCATTTTTGCACCTGTTATCAAATGCACAAGCAACCATAGTACATCACCCACAACACGCCCACTAATAGCACAAGCAATTTTTTAGTTTGCAATTCAGGGCTTGTTATTTGGGATCTTAATAAATCAGACCCACAGCCACAGGCTGTGTCAGGGTCAGGAGGCTGGACTATAGCTCATACACAGCAGATTAGACACATATAAATACAGTATATACAAATAAAAAATGACATCAGTTATCATCCAGGTAACTGAGTTTTAATTGTGCAGCGAAATTGAGGAGGGTTGAAGGGGGTGAAGCCAGCGGATGAGGAAGATATCAGAGCCTAGGGTGGAGGTATTCAGACATGTCCTCCATCTTTATCCAGTCAATGGTTTTATGTTCATAAATCATATGAAATAAGGAGGACTGCTTCCTACCAAAGATAAGAGTCTGCGGCTTTCACACTGTAAGAAATGAAGCTATTAAAGAACCTTCAAAGTCGTTTGAGGAGTTTTCTGATCAAGCAGATATAAATTCAGATTTTTATTTCTGACACACTAAAAGGTGGCAGTGCAGATAAATTCCCAACTGTGGGAAAAAAACAAGACAATCCAAAGGTTGTATAGTAAAAACAACCTTTGTGCCTGTTCAATCTAAACGTCTCTGCAGTGGAAAGGTATAACACAAACTGGGCGTTGAACTTCCAACCTTTTTCATCACCTTTACTTCTCTGAAGACATGTATGTACAAAGTTAGAGATTGATAACACAAACTTTTAACCCTCTTACTCTTTCAGCTCTGAACACAGGGAATGAATTCACATTTTTCTGTTGTTGAAGGTTGTACCAAAGTTACAGTACAGCAGAATTATGGTTTGGCCCTCTGACAACCTAAAGATAGCATTGCTGTGCATTTTTACGACCATTTCTGCTGCCTCTGTGTCTATCTACTCAGACAAATTGGAAGTATTTCATGTCCTCTTCGCTGGCAGGAAACCTGAACGTGTTGCCATCAGTTAGATTAAATACCACCCCGCGCAGTTCAAGACGCAGGCTGATGAATAAGATCCCTTTGTCGGCAAAGCCTGAGGAAGTGGAGTACTTTCTCTGAACTGGTTCATCATTTAAAAGATAGATATAAAATCTAATTAGAGAACATAAGGGAGAAAACGTGGACCGAGGGGTATTTAGAGTCCTTGAGTTACTGCATCACACTAGCACAACCTTAGTCTGCTTAAACACCATCAGTTTATCCTTTAGACTCAGACTAACTATTTGTGTCAGTTTTTAATTAAGGTTCTTAAACCCCCAGACACATGATGCATCTGTCTCCAGGTGTGACTGTCTCACTATATAAAAGGAAAGGAACTATAAAAGGAAAGAAAATGCTCATCCAGGTGTTTTTACCAGCGCTCACAGAGAAGTTCAGCCTTCGATATTGAGCTTAAAATGTTCTTATTTATTCTTTTGTCACCTGATAGTTATTTGTTAATGTTAAGGCAGGACCAACAGTGATTATGGGGAGTCCACAAAGACCGTGAACTTGAACAGGACGCCAGCCAATTTTAGAGTAAACACAAACAGAAAAAGAACTTCTGAGGTGTTTTTATCAGAGATTTATGCACTCACAGTTTCGTTGTAGGTCTTCATGATTTTACTTTGAAAGTTCTTTGTGTGTCATAGAAAAGATAAAAGTACTGAGATGTCACCAGCAGTGTTTTATGTGAAGTCCTGAAAGCCCCAACCTATGACATCCTCAAACCAAAACCTGACCAGGGGCCTTATGTATCAACGCTTGCGGCGCAAGAAAACCTTGCGTACGCCAAAATCGGCGCACACGTCCAGATTTATCATCGCGAAACGAGCGTCGGTTCCAGCGCTAATCAACGCAAAGTCAGGAGGTCGCACTTTGGCGACGCTGTGTGGCAGTGTTTGGTGACTCACTATGTGACAAGCGTGCACCACATCCCCGTGGCCGGGCAGCACGTCGCCCCACATGACGAACCAGCAGCAGACGGAGGGATGCGAGCTGATCCCTGCCGGGCCGCCGTCCTCGCGCGGGAGAATCTCATCGCCACAGTGTGAATGGGTAAGAAGTGAATACACAGTTCAATGAGCCAAATTAATTTATTTTCTCCACCAGACGCTCGAGGACATTTACGAGCCGGTCCAGCCGCTCGTTGATCCCCGCGATCCCCCTGATGATTTCTTCCTGCGATTGCAGGACCTCCTCCGCGAGGACCCTTCCACTGCGTCCGGGTGGTCCAGCGGAAGCGCCACGGCTGGTGGATGCTCCGCCGCTTGTCGGCGCGCTGATGCTGATGCTGGTGCTGGTGCTGGGGCCGGGGTGGCCCGAATGCCGCTGGTCCTGGCCGACGACTCCGAGCCGGCGGACGGGCTGCCGCGGGCCGGGGTTCCGCAAGCCGGCGACACGGCCGACACATTGATTTCTGTGACACAATAAAAATATTGGTTCATTTCAATTCCTGCTTCTGTGTATCTGTTGCATTTACATCTCTCTCCACGGTATCATAGGTAATGTAATCCAGTATTTAGAGGTCAGTTATGCACATTACAGTTGTTTATTGCATAAAAAGTTATCGAAAAATGAAGTTAAGGGCGAAGTATAAATCATGTCTAAAAATAGACTGAATCCCGACGTTGAAATGAAGTATAAACTTAGACTAGACGTCTAATATACGTCTTTTGCTCAGTGGGATGACAAAGCATGTGGACATTTGTGTGACACGCCACTTACCCTATAATAATAATCGCCACCACCCGCTGCTCAAATGGTGTGAGGGTCTCCTCCCCCGGACCCCCACCTGTCTGGCCGGTACTCCTCCGGAGGGCAGCTGTACGCCGCTTGACCTCCACCTTGAGGTCCGACCACTTTTTTTTAATCTTCACGGGGGTGCGTGTCTCGGAACCCACCGCATTCACCCTCTCGCAAACTTTCTCCCACTCCAAGCGTTTTTGTTTTGCACTGACGCCACTGGACAGGCTGCCAAACAAAACACGCTGTCGCTCCTCCACCTCCGCCACCAGCACCTCCACCTCGCACGCCGTAAATTTAGTTTTTCTTGTCATTTTGTCTGCGTGCGAGGACAGGGAGACCCTATTTAAATAAATCTGCATATTTATAGGAGGGCGTAACGGGGACGGGCCCAGTCACTCCGACATCTGCGCTCAATTCCACGCTGATTGGGATTTATCAAGGAAACACACGTGGATTTCGGCGCCCGCACACATTGATACATACGGATTTTTTTCAGCGTGACGGACCTTGCGTGCGCTCGTTTCTGGTATGAGTTCCACGCAAGTATTGATACATAAGGCCCCAGCTCCTTTTTCAGACCGGGTGGATGTTCATGCTGAATTTGAAGGTTTTACCTTTCTGGAGTTTTTGACATTTTACAGTCACAAGATTTACACAAACATGGACAGACAACCCAAAAGAAAAACAAAACTCCAGCCAATGGTGTTTACAGCCACGTGTGTTTCCACAGGCCTTGACATTTGACGTCATGGGTTTAGAATATCATTTACTATCACATTAAATATGAAATGGCCTGATACTCACACCTTTGTTGAGGTCTCTGTGTGCATGAAGACCTTAAACAGATGCAATGTCCATCCTCTCTTTGACTTCTGAGCTCTTAGTATTTATGCTTAGAGGACCCTGCCTTTCCAGACAGACTTCCACATCTACCACCAGCTCCGAGCAGAGCAAGTTAGTGATCATTCAGGGACACATCAGCAGGAATAAATCCACTTTTGGAGATATGTTTTAATTCAAAATGTAATGAGGTAATTAATAATAAAGAGCAAGAAGTTTCCCCAACAACCATCCAGTTGAATGTATTTACAGTTTGTGCAAAAACATGGATTCAAAACATATTATAAGCTGATAACTTCAAGGCACATATATATATATACTGTTTACCGTAACGTCATTTTTGCTAAAAAACAAAATAAGGGAGAAGAGTTGAACCAAGGTGGTTTACGATTTCATGACATATGTGCTTTTTGCTGCTTCTCCTGTGACCCCACCATAAAACACAGTGAGCACTGATAACAAGATCCTCTAACTGTGATAATGTAATCTTAAAAAGCAGGTGAGAACGCAGCAGCATGCCTCCTCTTTGCCATGTTTAATGAGTGTGACCTTTAGATTTCATTTTGAAGCAGAGAGAAATGGCATTTGCATAAAAATGTGTCATTTTCCTCCAGCAGGAATCTAATAATTTGCATCTCTACTGACTGTGGTGGCAATCACACAAATGTGCCAAATTACTGTGATGACTTGATAAAAAACAGTCACAGGAGAAGTGAGGTGGACTCTGAGAAACTACGCCCTCTCATGGTGATGTGTCAGACTTCTGTCTCCCCTCCTGGTTCAGCACCTCACGATGCTACAGTGTGGATGTGTTTTGGTTACAGTATACAATGAGTTTAAATCATTCACAACTACTGAAAATTACCTAAAACTGATTCTTCAAAATAACTGAATCCTGATTGTACATGTCAGTGTGCACACAACTTAAACAACACGACTCCAGAAATGAATAACTTACAAATCAAAGGTCTCTGTATAGAAAAGGTGGGTTCAACTGCGTGTATAAATTACATTTCTAGAAGAGGAGGGATTTAAATAATATCAACACTGTACAGAGTCCAGAAAAAGAGGATTCCTGTCTGTAAAAATGCTCCTGATGTTCCCAAAAATCATCATGTGCAACAAACGTCTGCATCCTGAACATTGTTCTTGCAGTAGACTGTGCTGTTGTTCCCCAGGGGGCAGTCTCTGCATCCGACGCCCCCGTTGGGAGTGTAAATAGGCTGAATGCGGAAATCTCTCTTGAGCAGCTGCTCGTTGTTCAGCGAGACTATCTGGAAGCTGGTCTCAGTCATTTCCAGGATAGAGTTGTCTTTCTTGGTGCCAGCCTCGCAGTAGTCGTCTTTTCTCCGACCCCGGTTGTACTTCCACTGGGTGGAGGACTTGGAGCTGCTCTTCTTGTGCATGTGCCAGCAAAAGAAGCTGAGGAAGACCACGAGCACAACGATCACAGCCCCGCCGATGAGCCCAGCCAGCAGGAAGGGTGAGCTGGTCTCTGGCTGGGTGGCCTGCTCTGGTCCTGACGGTCTCTTGTTGGTATCAGGGCTGAATGACGCCAGCATAGTCACGGCCTCTGTGCACACTGTGTCATCTTTGGGACGGTAGTTATTGAAAGCATCCAGGGGGATGACACAGATCCGATAGGTGGACTTTGGCTCGAGATTAGCCAGTCGGATCCCCCGGTGGTCCCCACCCACTATCCTCTCCCTGACCGTATCCCCTGTCAGGCTGGGACCCATCCTTGCCCAAGTCACCTTGTAGGCGGTGACTGGAAAGGTGGCCACCCAGCTGACATGGATCGCTGATCCGTTTAGAGTCGCAAACATGACCTGCAAATTCTGACTTCTCGGGGAGAGAGGTTTCTTAGTCCTCAGACCTACCCCTCTGGTGGAAAAGGTGGAATAAAGAGAGGGGAATGTGGGAAATGGTCGCCTGGGAGAAGAGGAAGAAGAAACATACTGAGTGGGCAGTGGAGGGTCCGTTAAAGAAGAGGAGGAGGGGGTTAGGTCAGATTCACCTGGTGAGGTGGGCAGGGGGGTTGTCCAGGTGCTATGTGAACACTGCAGCAGCTCAGCGCTCAGCTCCCTGATCACCATGCCCCGAAACCTCTCTGGTTTGTGGCACATGAAGCCACGCACGTTCAGAGAGGACGGCAGGGATTTCAGCCACGACACCACCCACGTGACGCTGCAGTCGCAAAGCCACAGGTTGTTTCTGACAGTGAGCTGTTGGAGGCTGACCAGGCCTTCAAACACTCCCTGAGACAGTGTCTGCAGCTGGTTGTTAGAAATATCCAACCTCTCCAGCTTGTGCAGCCCTGCAAACGCTGTCACAGGGATCTGGTTCATCTGGTTATCCTGAAAGTTTAACTTAACCAGCACCTCCCCTGGGAGGAACGGAGGAGGGTAGGTGAGTGAATTTCGGGCCAGAGACAGCTCCCTCAGTGTGATAAGGTCCTGAAAGGTCCCGGGTGCTATTCCTTCATCTGTCAGCAGGTTCCCGTCCAACAGGAGGCGCTGCAAGCGGGTCACATTTCTAAAAGCTTCTTCTGCGATGACTGCGATTCTGTTCTCATCCAAACGCAACTCTTTGAGATCATCAGGAAGACCAATAGGCACACTACTCAGGTGGTTTTTGGTGAGGAAGAGCATCTTCAAGCTCACGGCCTCCCTGAAGGCGCCCTCCTCCACCCCCACTGTAGAGATGGAGTTATCATCCAGGTGCAGCTCCTCCAGCCAAAGGAGCTGAGCGAGAGCGGCTCTGGAGATGGTCTGAATGTTGTTCTCCTGCAGGTGGAGAACTCGAACATTTTTGGGCAGGTTAATGGGAAACTCATCCAGCTGGTTGCCATAGAGATACACCGTTTCCACTGATGCCACGTGGTGAAGCTCCAAAGGGAAGCCAGCGTTGTTGATTTGGTTGTTGTGGAGGAAGAGGATCTTATAACCCTCACCAATTCCCAGAGGCACTGAGGTCAGGCTGCGCTCATTACAGTAAACAAAGGTTCGATCACAGCGGCACTCCTCTGGACAGTTGGAGGCCCGGGAGAACTGGAGATGAAGGCCCAGCAGTATCGGTATCCACGGCCTAATAAAGGAGGCCCAGTCCTTACTCCATAAACGTAGCTGTAACTCCATTTCAGAAAAATGCAACCCAGAAAACAAACTCAAAGAAACTAGGACTGAAAAGATCCAGCAGAACAGTGGTTTAATAACACCACCATGTCCAGCCCACTGCCGGAGCAGGTCTTGAGTAATCCCTTGGTAATTAGACGTCCTAATCTTCCCATCACAAAAGAAACGGTCTCATTAAACAAATAGATTCCTTCTCTGGCCGTGGCGTGATAAAGCCAGACGATGTTTCATCACATTTTCAGCCTCTCTGCTTCTCTACCAGCCAGCAGAGCCCCCCATGCAGACAGAGCCGTGAACCACACAACAGGCTTTTCATCAGATGTCCTCTTCGTCCCTCACGTCATGCACTACTGCGTCCTCACACCTGACATTTGCATCCAGGAAACCTGTTGCAAAACAAGAATAAAGGAAAAAATCAGGCCTTAGAAAACATTCCAGTCAAAGCCAAAGGATTTCTCTCTCACAAAGCTGGAGCGGTGCATTGTAAATTGAGAGAGGGGAGCTGTGTGCATACCAATGACTTACAGATTTGTTACATATTCCTCAGGCACACTGTGAGAGAGAGGCAAAAAAAAGGATTGTTGAAAAGATACTGAGGGCAGAGGTGTGGTGAAATGGTGGAATGCTTATGTGACTAACGTGAGTGCTAATCTAAAATGAAAACAAATTTGTCTCCTTCCCTAGGTGATAACTGCAAACGTGAACACAGCATTCATAAAACAGCCAAATTCAGAGGATTAACAGGCAGCAGCCGGGAGCTTTTTCAGAGCAGTGAGGTGTGAGGTGAACAGGAAAGGAGACGACTGGCTCAAACAGGAGCACCGAGAAACTGCAGCTCAGAACAGCTCTGAAGGACAATTAATGAAGTTTCTTTACCTCCGGTTACACCTGAGCTATCGAGCAGCTTTCATTAAATAACACACTGACAACACTAGAGGTACATTTTTTCTCCATGGATTTACTCCTGGATTCTGTCCTTAACTGCTTTAGGCTCAAACATCTTTGAGTGAGAATTAACATGTAAAGACAACCATCCTCTTCTTCAGACTATTATTTTTTTTACATGTTTGTCCCTCTTTATAAAAGCTCCTGTGGGCAGTTTTTATCTAGCACTGAAACAGACTGACAATAATTCTGACACCTCCTCATGAGCTGAAAAAGTAAACTGTACTGTGACTGATACTAACTGTAAAGTCCGAACAGGCTGACCTAAATGAATCTCACCCTCCCTCTCTTCCTGAACAGCAGAGCATGGGCATGGCTCCTCCCCTCACAGCGTTCTAACTTGAATATCAGCAGCACCAGCTCAGACCAATCAGAGACAAGGTTTGGAGAACCAGGAAGATACAACTTCTCTATCTCCAACATGCTGTGCAACAGGTACCAACTATCAGACAGCTGTTGGGGGAGAGGAGAGGAGCAGGAGGAGAGAGGAGAGCAGAGAGAGGAGCGGGAGGAGAGAGGAGATCAGAGAGAGGAGAGCAGGGAGGGGAACAGGAGGAGAGAGGAGAGCAGAGAGAGAAGCAGGAGGAGGAGAGAGGAGAACAGAGAAAGGAACAGGAGAAGAAGAGAAGAGAGCAAGAAGAATAGCAAAAGGAGAGAGGACAGCAGGGAGATGAGAAGGGGGGAAGAGGTGGGCAGGGAAAGGAGCAGGAGGAAAGTATGTGTATCTGTGTGTCTGGAACAGAAGGATCACAAATATCAGATTTTTCGCTGTAGCAAAATTTGACATTGATTTTAGTGAGTATTAAGAAGAACTTTATTGATCCCCAGAAGGAAATTCAGTATTATTCAATATTATCATCAAAATATGTGTATGTATAGTTTAAACCAGAAGTTTACATACACTAAGGCAAATACCCTTTTTTTTCTCACCGTCTAACATTAAATCAGATTAAACTATTCCTGTTTTTGGTCAATTATTTTTATTATTTGGTCAATTATTTTTATTTGCTAAATGCCAGAATAATGAGAGAGAGAAGTTTTTAGACATTTTTTTATTACTTTCTCTAGAGTCAAAAGTTTACATACACCAAGATGACTATGCCTTTGGGAATTTGGGAAAGTCCAGATGATGATATCATGTCTTTGAAAGCCTCTGACAGGTTTATTGACAACATCTGAGTTAATTAGAGGCACACCTGTGAATTTTAGGGCACACCTGAAACACACAGCTTCTTTGTGTAACGTCATGGGAAAATCAAAAGAAATCTGCCGAAATATGAGGAAAAGACCTGTGGACCTACACAAGTCTGGTTCATCCTTGGGTTCAATTTCTAGACACCTGAAGGTGCCACCTTCATCCGTTCGAACAATTGTACACAAGTATAAACACCATGGGAATGTCCAGACAACATACCACTCAGGGAGGAGACGGGTTTTGCGTCCCAGTGCTTAAAGTGTCTGAAATGTTAATATCAATCCAAGAACAACAGCAAAAGCCCTTGTGAAGATGTTGGCTGAAGCTGGTAAGAGTGTGTCATTATCAACAGTGAAACAAGTCCAGCACTGACATGGGTTGAAAGGCCATTCTTCCAGGAAGAAGCCATGACTCCAAAAGAAACATAAAAAGCCAGATTGCAGTTAGCAAATGCACACAGGGACAAAGACCTTAATTTTTAAGGACATGTCCTGTGGTCTGATGGAACTGAAATAGAGATTTTTGGCCATAATGACCATTGTTACACTTTGAGGAAAAAAAGGGGAAGCTTGCAAGCCTGAAAACACCATCCCAACTGTAAAATATGGGGGTGGCAGCAAAATGTTGTGGGGTTGTTTTGCAGCAGGAGGGACTGTTATTCTTCATGAAATAGATGGCATTATGAGGAAAGAACATTATCTGAAAATACTGAAGCAACATCTCAAGACATCAGCCAGGAAGTTAAAGCTTGGGCGCAAATGAGTTTTCCAAATGAAGAGTGATCCTAAGCATACTGCCAAACTGGTTACAACGTGGCGTAAGAATAACAAAGTCAATGTTTTGAAGTGGCCATCACAAAGCCCTAATCTTTGTGAAGTCAAAAGTCATGTGCAAGCAAGGCAGCCTACAAACTTGGCTCAGTTACACCAGTTCTGTCAGGAGAAATACCAAATAATTTTGGTAATCCTAATTGGCCAAAAAAGTAAAGGTTTAATCTGATTTAATGTTAGAAAGTAGGGAAAAAAAGTTATGTTACTTCTGGCTTCAACTATCTATCTATCTATCTATCTATCTCTTTACATACATATACATATATATATATATATATAGATAAATATATATATATATATTTATTGCACACTTCCTTTAAATCCTATAAACTTCGTTTCACTTCTCAAATATCACTGTGTTTGTCTCCTATATGATACATTTAACAGATTTTTTTTAATCCTAATTTTCCTTTATGAAGGAAAATCATGAAAATAAACTAGGTTGCCCAAACTTTCGCATCCCACTGTAGTTCGTTTTGATGCAGGTCATCCAGCGTCATAAACAATAAGCTTTAAAAAATCAGATCCTTTAAAAGCTGATTGGCTAACATCAACAGCAGCCAAATTGGCATCCTTTCTACTGATTGCCAGTGAAACCAGTTTTAACAGGAAACTATCTGATCTGCTGCGGCTCTGAGCAAAGCTTTTAAATATCACAAAAGTAAGAAAATAAGTGAGAAACTAGAGAACAGCTTGTTTTCTCTCTGATTTGAACCAAAAACAACAATAAAGTACAGAAGCATCTTTTTATTCTGTACTCTGGGATTTCATTTTGAAAAGCTTATTATGACTTTAGTATTGGGTGACAGTCCCTCTGTCTTAATTTATTATTTTTAGTAAATTAAATTAATAAAAAATATAAAAATAAAACTTGGTAAGGGTTTTTGCCCCTTATTATTTTCAAAATAAAACACACAGCTCTGACCTTCAGAGTCCTTGTTCTTGGTCTACTGGCTGTTTTCTTGTTTCTGGTTCAATAATTATCATCCATAGCCCATACTCTGACCTTAGTGCTGCCGTTGTCATGTCATGCATGACCAAATTTAAAATCTTTGTTGATCCTGGTGAACAGACAGGAGTTCCAGGTGGCTGCTGCATGCAGGCTGCACACAGAAACTATCTGAGATGATTCTGGGAGAAACAAGATAAAACTTGATTCTAGACAACACCTGATCCACCATTTTCAGCTATATCGAATGCTTTTAGACACTGCTGTACATATCAGAACAATGCTCAGCCTCATAGTATGCAGAATTTATGGAGAGGTTAATGGAGGTTAAAGTATTTCTGAGGTAGATTTGCCAAAAAGTCAAATAAGTGCTCTTCATTTCTGCAAACCTGGACTGCATTCCTTCCTCTCTTGATTCATTAAGTGTAACCTCACTGAAGGAAGAGCAGCAGAGCTGGATGTTGATGAACACAGCCTGTCAGCACAGATAAGATGAGACAAATTCCTCACACAGGGACAAAACTGAGATCGATGAGGGTTTCTTACAGTGAGGGAAGGTGCAACCGAGCAGGCAAGGTCATGAGATTAAAACAAAGTAGAGAGATCTCAGAGAGTGAACAGCACCTGCTCTGGAAAAAGACTTCTATTCCTAAAAAACATTCACAAACTGCAGCTTTGTGGGCCTATAACTCAATGCACCCCTGCAGTCAAGTGATAATTATGTATTACTGGTGCTTGTTCGCTGGGTACTGGCGATGATTAATAAAATAGCACCAGGCAGCAGCCAATTGACAGATTGCATTGATTTGTGGCCAAGGCACTTCAATAGTTATGTAATGTTGGGGGGGGTCCAATTACGGTGACCCCGACCTCAGCACGGTTTTTATCGGTCGGCTCTTTGGCTTCAATCCTGCTGCACAGCCTACATTCATCTTAGACCTGCAGAAAGTCCTAAAGAAGAAGAGGAAGAAGACTGGCTATGTTGTTCAGCAGCAGCGTCCCAGTTTGGGGGACGAACCAGAGCTTCAGAGAGCGCGCAGCACTCAAAGGATCACCAGGAGGCATTTCTGTCTACCTTAACCTCATTCACAGCCTATTACAGTTATCTTTGCTCAGTAATAAAAGAAGCACTGATGTTTAAAGAACCAAGAGAATGTCATAAAAACCCGTTTAGTCTGCGTGTTCATGACAAATTGTTCATCTTTTGAGAGTTGTGCTAGACTAATGATTCCTCTCCAAAAAAAAAAAAAAAAAGAACGCGCAGTTAAGAGAAGTCCGAGAGCTTTATATTCTCCCGATCTTACCTCCAGGGGAACTGTTAGTCCTGCGGCTGCACATCCAGCCGCTCAGCTCTTCTCTTTGCACACTGCGCTCACACCGGGCACAGAGTCCGCATCCTGCCCGCTGTGTCCGCTCCCAGCTCCCGCTCCCGCTCCCGCTGCGGCTCCGGGCTGCTCTCTCTCGGTTTCCCGCTGACCGGTGGCATTATGTTCAATGTGTAAGCGCCAGAACGTAACATCCAGGAAGGCAGTGAAGTTTAGGTCAGGAGCGGTCAGCGGACCTGCGTCCTCCCTCCGGATCTTTCCTCAAACACTCCCCGCCGGCCGCGCTGCTCCGGAGCTGCCGTTGAAGTAGCTCCACAGCTTTCGGAGCCGGAGGAGAAAAGGAAATGAAGCAGAGCGGAGAGGAGAGTTACTGGCTCCCTTTACCACCCCCCACCGCTCCACATGCAGAATGCCTCAAATATGAGGTCCATCGTCTAGGTAAAGTGGTCCAGAAACTGCCCGGAGTCTGCTGGAGCTCCGGGACTCCCTCAGACTGCTATAACCTCTCTCTCTCTCTCTCTCTCTCTCTCTCTCTCTCTCTCTCACACACACACACACACACACACACACACACACACACACACACACACACACACACACACACTATCTCTTGCCTCACTCTCTCCCTCACATTGATAGATGTTCTCACATTATTAACACGTTTTGCAACAGGGAAAAAATATATATATTTGACAACAAATCAGACTGACTTTTTTCACAATTTGTGGTCACCTATGGAAACAGGAAAGAAGATAAAGTTGGTGTAAAATAAGGAATTTGAAAAATTAACTCCCCAACTAATAAAAATGATTTAAAAATAGCCAAACATATCAAACTAGATTTCAAAATCTGGATAAAATGAGCAGCAATCCCTGCATTTGGACACTAGGGGCGTGTCAGCTCAGTGCACAGAGGCCCCCCAGGGGCTGTAAAATGTCAATCATCTGTAGGGGCGGGCTGGACACAGGGAGGTTAAGAACATCCTGTGACGGCCAGTCTGTTCCAGGCTATTCCTTTTTTTTTTCTTTTTCTTTTTCTTTTTTGTTTGTTTGTTTTTTTACCCCGTAAAACAGAGCTGCTGTTGACTGCAGCAGCCTGCCCCCGCAGCCGCAGATAACACGCAGCGGAACGTCACACTGGGTCAATCTAATATTTTACATACAGGGAGGGTATAAGTAGTATAGACATGATATAAGTACATTAAGTCTGTGCGAGCAGCTTCTCCCAGTTTGAGCTGACCTTTGTTTCTAAAAATGTGATCAGCTCAGCCGCTCAGTCAGTCATTAAGTGCTGTTTTCCCATTAAAACAAAACAAAACAAAACAAAAACAAAAAAAGGAAGAGGGAGCAGGATAGTAAAAAGTATAGTGAAAAGGAAGAAGTCAGAAAACAAAATTAGTGGATTGGAGAAACTGTGGGTAAAAAAATGAAAATAAATAAATAAATGAATTAGTAGAGAATGCAGCCAAATGTGCAAAACTGACTAAACTGAGCAGCAGAGCCACAGCAGAAAATAAAAGGTAGACTATCATCAATGTTAAACCATACATGCATAAATATTTAATCTGCTTTATCAATTAAAAATAAAATCCATACTGGCAGACCAGAAAAATGCTCAAAAACAAACATATTTCAGGAGAGAGTCCGTATTCAAAGTTAAAGAGACAAATTTTGAATATAGGCGACGCACCCTTTGTTCCTGTTCTGTTTTTACTTTCATATATATGCATTTTACCAGCTCAAGAGAAACACATTAAGTGAGTTATTAATTTACTCTACTGTACTGTGTGTGTGTGTGTGTGTGTGTGTGTGTGTGTGTGTGTGTGTGTGTGTGTGTGTGTGTGTGTGTGTGTGTGTGTGTGTGTGTGTGTGTGTGTGTGTGTGTGTGTGTGTGTGTGTGTGTACAATGAATTTTTTGCAAAAGTGCTATAAAATTTATCATTGTTGCTGCTATTGTTATTATTAGCTGATCAGGCCAGTGTCAGTCAGGATAATACAAGTCAAAGGAGTGAGGAGGAAGAGACAGATGAGGAGGGACAGGAGGAGGAGATGGAAGAGGAGGAGGAGAAGGCAATGTAGCTTGTCCACTCCTTCAGTTATGTCAGTGGCTTTCTGAAATGGATATCTGTTTTGTGAATAACTTATAACTAATCTTTGTTATTACTTATATTCTTTTTATGCAGATATAGCAGATGTACAGGAAAAGGCAGGGTCTAGCAGACCCAGGGATACCAGTTGAAGTTGAAGATGAAGGTTTCGATTTTTATGCACATCCAGCCTCCAAAGTTTAAGATCTGTTTATTTTTTCTTACCTTCCTAAACAACACCCCAGAAAAGGGATGCCTATCTATCAAACCAAGATGGTATTAAGCGAAATTGGCTTACCTACTGTGAGGAAAACCACTACACTGTGTATACAGCAAATAAAGTATTTGTGTTAAAATTGGGTTGGCTACCATATGGGGGGGGGGGGGGGGGTCTGTGTCCCTGCACTAGTTTGTTTTCCGTGTGTATAACTCTGCTTGGCGTTCTCTGTGCGTGAGCCCTTGGCGTTCTCTGTGCGTGAGCCAGCAAGAACATCACTCACCTGAACATGGACCGCAAAAAACGCTTGAAAGTCTGGCTTCATTTTAATTTGTAAAAGGAGGAAGGAGAAGCACAGTGCAACATCTGCAAAAAAAAAAAAAAAATTCCCTTCTGGCAGACAGTGCATGCGTGCGTTGCATCAGTGGCTTCACTTACAACTGAGCGGAGGGGCAGAACAGCACAGAGAAACTCCGCCTCTCAGAGTGTGTTTTCAAAAGAACCACTAAACATGTATGGTAAATACAATGGTCTGTGATGCCAAGAAAAAGTACACGCTACACAAACTCAAATCTATGAAAGCCAGTGAAAAAAAGAAGGGCTTCCATACAAAACTCTGCACATTTGGAGGATTATATAAACTCTCCCCAGACAGGTCGTACAGCCCCCCAAAAGAGGACATGTCTGGGTAAAAGAGGATGTATGGTCACCTTTTTCAACACCTCTGGATTCATGAAGTAAAAATAACAGTGCCCCATCTTTGACGCACTGCGTCGGTTTTCCTCTAACCAGTCAGAATCAGATAAGTAAAAAAATAAATTACATCTGTCCTCTGCTAACATTGAAGCGGTAAACGAATTGTACTGTATACGATGGGTCAACTTAAATATCCAACTCACGTTAGCCCACAAACGACCTGATAACAAAGATTGATATTTATATATTTGGTTGAAAATAGCCCTGTGTAAAATTTATAGTAAAGTTCATAAAAAGTTCATGTCATTTAAAATTAATGGAGAAGTTCAAACATTTCACCCAAAAAGAGCTTTAGTTAACGCCCTCATTTCAAACCATGCATTTTTTATCCTGTCGAATCAAAATGAGGAATCGATATCGTTTAAATTTAAACAATGCCCAACCCTAGTTAAAATTACACCTCTGAAACTGAACTTTTACAGGTATTTACAGAACAGACGCCAGCGTCTGAAAGCGTGTAATTGTTGGGCTCTTAAAGAATTTGTATAAATGTTGCTTGTTATCATCAGAAATCACAGTCTTATAAATCATGATGCTATCTGTTACGGTCACAACGTCAACATTTAACAGGAAAAGAAAAGAAATACATTTAGCTAGATTAGTTTGCATTCAGCGTCAGATTAGGTTTGTTAAATGCATGTAAAATTATTTTCAATGACCTTTCATCTTTCAGGTAAACTGTTTGGAGGATTTTATCTGACAGCTGCGTAAAACAGCGTTTTGCCTAATATATGCAGATGATAAACTTATTTTTGTGGCTGCAGATAGGAGATACTTGAGAGGAAGACTGGAGTGTCTCAGACATAATCACATCTGGCTTTAAGCAACACTAAAAGTTTAAATGTGCTTTTATATGGAAAGAAAAATGAAGATGACAAGGTGGATTAATTTTGATTCTTAGATGTTAGTTCAGATTTGCAGTTTCAGATTAATAAGAGACTGTGCTGAACTGTTCAAACTGTTCAAGATCAGATCTATGAAGCACTACAGCAGCTATGCATAATATCTATGCATAAATCTAACTGCCCATCAACCAAACAGACACACCCATAAGGTCACAATACAAACAGGCATTAAAGATGACATATCACTGACTCGCTGCAGGAAACTTAATTTTTTGTTTCAATAGTTTTAACTCATTCAGTGCCAGGTTCATTTATGCAATTTTTACCCAGTGCCACCATTGACCCCAAGAGAAATTTCTGTATCTTTCAGGACCCACTGAATATCTTGTGCTTGGACTAGAATTAAATGCAGTATCTCAAAGACAGGGGTGGTCCTCTTTTTTTACCAGAAAAAAAAAAGTTAGTCTCTAACCCACTCCTGTGTTAAGTTATTGCCTGCTCAATGCAGCACGGTCATATCATCTTCGCTGATCTGGAAAAAGAAACCTGGGAAAAACACATTTTTATGGAGAAGAGACTTTTAAGCAGAACTCTGATCGTCTATTCCATTTCACTTCAAACTACTTTACCAGTGGCATCAAGGGTCTCCCTCCTAGGACACCACTCCACATCACACTCAAGATCTTATTGTGATAGGTCACTTTGTAATGGCTGGGAATCGTATTGGCTCTCAAGAACCTGACGCCGCAATGTAAACCACACAGACTGCCCACATCCTCCTCGCCGGAACTGTCGCTGAATTACGGCTCAGTCTCGCTTACCAGTACTGGCACCGGTGGCACAACGACATGCCGGAAAATGGTTTCTCTGATTTTCGGCTGACGATGTGAGGGGCCCGTCCCGGAATCTCCACTGGATCCAGAGACAGTAGCACTGCGCCCACGGCTAATGACTTTGGGTTTTTCCTACTCTCCTCTTCGAGAAAAAAACACTCCACAACTAGGTTAATCAGCACACTTGATGGCACACTTCTCACTGGCAAGTACTTGTTTTTGTTGTTGAAACATGGTCATGATGTATTTATCAGCTTTTCTGCGATCAGAACGATTTCAAACTTAGTCACATGTTGGGGAGGAGCAGCCTCTGGTGGAAAACTAAAAAATCTGTCCAAATCTATCATTGGCATGGAATGAGTTAAGTTTTATCTATAAGCTAATTTCTGAGTCAAAGAAAATCTAGTAGTATCACAAATACTTTGTCAGCAGGTGAATAAACAATGTGGAAATTGTTTTGCAGGAAAATGTAGAACAAGACTCGATCAGTTCTCCCCCTCAGTCAGAGCTATGAAACCATGGGGGACATTTTTCCCCTGCAGACAGTCACAGTCGTGATTCCTTTCACTGTGAAATGACAACTGGAACAGATTTTTTTTTTTTAATTAAGCCACTTTCTCAAGGATTTTAATGTATTGTAATGTTTTATATCACGTTTAATGTATTCTTTTGTATTTGGTTTTAATGTACTTTTGATTTTGTTTTAATTTTTTATTTTATAATGTTCTGTATTGTGTTCTATGTATATTGTAAGGTGACCTTGAGTGCCTTGAAATGCGCCCTAACAAATCAAACGTAT